CCTTGCTAATATAAGGAAAATATTATATTTGTAGACATGTATGAGTCGATACAAAGAAAAAGAGTGATTGAAATGTTCACAGTCCTTGTGTGTCAATGTTGCTTTTTTGTGAAACAGGTCCTGCCAATGGTAACACGTTAACAAGATATGAGGAATAGCTCACCCTTGACAGTGGTATTCTGGAATACACTAGGTTGGATTGAAAATGTATGTGGATTAACATAAAAAAATCCTCAATATGAAACAAGTGAAAATGCCGTTAAGTTTGGTCGAACTTTTCAAACTCTCCACCATAAGGAGGGCGTTTCAAATACGTACAAGCGATCAGGGTTTTTATATGAGGGCTATATTAAGAGAAATTACTGCCAGCAGAAACCTTGGACGTATATTGAAAATGTTATGTGAAGAAGTTTGTTTTACCGGCCAAAGGACCCATAATGCCAAATTGTACATTGGTTGGAAAATGCGCATAGGATCAATAAAATGTCTATAAATGGGCTGGAGCTTTATATTTTATAGGACGATTTGCCCCTCAGGAGAAAATGCAAATAAAATATTTCTGAAATCCTCAAAATAACAAAAATTGTGTGTTATATATACCAATACCAGCTTATATGCCGACATTGATTCGGTTTAGTAAGACAAAGTTGGGCCAATATTGATAACTTTTGGTAGGAAGATTGGAGACCTCATGAGAACCTAAGATATAAATTTAGCCATCCTTGAAAAATATTTTTAAAAAATCCACGCCTTTAGGTCATCCTTGAAAAATATTTTTAAATAATTCACACCCATATTTGGGAAAATATTTTTTAAGTCCACGCCCGCAAGTCACATTTGAAAAGTATTGAAAAGAAACCACGCCTATAAATCCTTGAAGAAATATTTTTGACAAATCCACGTCTATTGACTCTTGAAGAAATATTTTTAACAAACCTACGCCTATAAATCCTTTAAATTATATTTTAAACAAATCCACGCCCATACGTCATATTTAAAAAACTATATGAGCGGAGCAGTATAGTCGGACGGGCCGATCATATGATACCCTACAAACTTCCACGAACTAACTAACTTTCTGAGGTTCTATATTCTGAGCTTGGGCAATATTTCGCGATATTTGCACCCGGTTAGAGGTCAACAAATATTGCTAAAATTCAGTACAGATTCCCTTCACCGTGGGTTCTGTTGTGATCAGCTTTCAATTTTCGTTCCACCTCATCCCAGTATTATTATCTGATCATCACCGAAACTTATAGGCGTTGTCCTTGACCATACCTGGATACTCATGGACAATTTCAAAGCGATCTGCGCTATATTTGCGCCCTCTACTGTGGTAATGGGCTACTAAGTAGTATCTGAATATGTAAACATCTATAAATATTTACGTGCAACTCCCAAATCCGAGTACATACCATAATATAATTGGTATCAATTTAAAGGTCAACCACTCCTCTTGAATATACCATCAAATATGTCTATGTCCTTCAGGGGTAAACATATACGCTAAAGAATACTAATTTTGTCATCGTCCATTTGGCTCGCTAAATATTGACCGATCTTAATCAAAACAGGCATGCCTATTCTTTGGCCCGATCCCCTTCTTCATGTTTGCACCATAAATGCGGCCTCGGGAGCGATCGCAAAATCAGACAAAAATAAAGTTGTTGGTCCATTTTATCCCCTAAATATTAACAGATCTTTACCAAAAACAATAGGGGTCTTCATTGACCAGAACTCATCCCACATGCAAAATTTCGTGAAGATTGGTCCATAACTGTGGCCTGTATCGTGTTTACAAATTCTAATGGACAGACGGACGGACACACATGTCTAGATCGACTCAGCTAGTCGAGATATGACGATCGGTATACTTAAAAGTGGGTCTAGGACTAATATTTCGCGGCGTTACAAACTCTTGGGACTGCACAAAGCTATATTACCCTAACAACATTGTTGTGTAGGGTTTTTTTGCATGGAGAAGGCCAAAGAATAAGCATGCCTATTTTGATAAAGATTGGTCAATATTTTGCGGGTCAAATGAAACCAGGCTTTTGTGTGGAAAATGACAAAAATTGTATTATATGGCGTAAATATTTACTCCTGACGGACATAGACCCGAGAAGTTGATAGTATATCCAAGAGGAGTGGTTTACCTTTACATTGACACCAATTGCATTGTACTGTGTGTACCCGGATGTGGGAGTTACACTTAAATATTTACAGGTCCTTACGTATATATATATATATTATATACTAACCTATTACCACACTAGAGGGCGGAAATATAGCGCTGATCGCTTTGAAATTTTCCATGAGGATCCAGGTATGGTAATGGACAACGCCTATAATTTTCGGTGATGATCAGATAATAATATTTGGATGAAGTGACCCGAAAACTTAATTTTATGTGTTTTTTTATGAGTCGTTTTATAGGCCACTATTGAAAGCCGGACATCACAACACAACCCACGGTGAAGGGGATCTGGACAAGTAATTAGAAGAGCTGTACTGAATATTAGTAATATTTGTAAACGTCTAGTCGGTCAAGGGGATACAAATATCGCTAAATTTTGCACAAGCTCAGAATATCCAACCATAGAAAATTAGATTTTCGTGGAAGTTGTGTAGGGTATCATATGTTCGGCCCCGTCCGACTATACTGCTCCGCTCACTGGTTTAGAATTTTTTATTTTTTGGGAAATCCACGCCTTTGCGGGATGTTGATTTGTATACCCTTCACCACACTGTTGTACAGGGTATTATGTCTTTGTGCATATGTTTGTAACATGAGATAGGCCCATGGTTCCTTTTGAGAATATGCAAAGAATCACTTTCTCAGTCGATTTATGCATGATGTTAAATGGTAAACAAAGTACAGGACGCATTTATCATCCGATTTGGATGAAATTTGGCACAAGTCACTTATTTGGCACAAGGACGACCCTATTGAAATTAGGAAAAATCGGTTGAGATTTAGATATAGCTCCCATATATATAATTTCGTCCGATTTAATGTAAATGGTGCCCCAAAGTCCCCATATATCTTTCGATTTGCACGAAATTTGGCACAACGTACTAAATTAAGTCTAGAACGATATGTGCAAAGTTTCGTGAAAATCGGTTCAGAGTTAGATATAGCTCCCATATATAGCTTCGCCCGATTTTAGGTAAATAGTCCACTAAAGTCTCTGAAAATCTTTTGATTTGCACGAATTTTGGCATAGTGTACTGAATTAAGTCTGGAATGATGTGAAAAGTTTTGAGAAAATCGGTTCAGATTTAGATGTAGCTCCCATATATTGCTTCGCCCGATTTTAGGTAAATAGTACACTAAAGTCCTTGGAAATCTTTTGACTTGCACGAAATTTGGCACAGCGTAATGAATAAGGTCCAGAATGATGTTTGCCAAGTTTCGTGTAAATCGGTTCGTATATAGCTCCCATATATATCTTCGTCCGATTTAAGGTTAATTGTGTACCAAGTCTCTATATATCTTTCGATTTGCACGAAATTTGGCACAGCGTACTAAATTAAGTATAGAATGATGTGTGCAAAGTTTCGTGAAAATCGGTTCAGATTTAGATATAGCTCCCATATATAGCTTCGCCCGATTTTAGGTAAATAGGTAAATAGGTTCTGATATAGGTATTTTCATCCGATTTAAGGTAAATGGTGCACCAAAGTCCCAATATATATTTCGATTTGCACGAATTTTGGTAATTTGTACTTAATTAAGTCTAGAATGATGTTGCTAAGCTTCGTAGCCAAGCCTGATTGACACAACGTACTGATGTTATATAAATAAGTCTCTGGCAAATTTCCCTGAAATCGGTTCAGATATAGATTTATAACAAAATGCGTCTGTTAGGATACATATGTAAAATATACCCATAGTGGTGAAGGGTATCATATAGTCGGCCCAGTCCGACTTTACTACTTTCCTTACTGGTTTTTATTTCAGTAGTTCCTTACAATCCTAATCAAATTAATACCATTTAATTTTCCAGGTCTTTGTATTCAGATCAGTGTCTTTATATTCTTCGAAATGTATATATGTGGTTATGTGTTTGTAGTTTGTCATATGGAAATAAATTTCCTTTTTGCATTGTTCGTTCGTTCATTCGTCCGAAATGAATGACCGAAAAGACCCCCATCCGAATAACAAATAAACATAAACTTTATCGAGTCAATGAAATAAAAATGGGATAATGGATAGAAACCAAAAGATTCAAATATATGACCGCATAACCTGGCAGATATATATACGAGGTATGCTAGTTCTATAATGGATACTTAAATAAAGCCATTCACAAAAAAATCATAATTAGGAATATTGCCTAACAGGGACCCAATGGGGACTTCAAATTTTACAGCAAAGTTTAAAGGTGTCTAAAATCGGCACTGCTGTTGGACAAATTTTCTATAGAAGTATTCTTTGGGACTGGGAATCCAAAATTCCAAATGTCCCCAATTTTTTTTAATTTATTAGAAGATTTTCCTTCTTAGCTAGAAGCCGGACTAACAATTTATATAAATGGCGACCTTCCTGCGTATACGTATAATATATAACAATTGCTGTCATACGACATAAAAAGGAAAATTCGGGATAAGCAACAGTCTTTCATATGGAATGTATCTCTTAGTTTTTTCTTCTCTGGGTGAGTGTGTCCGTCCGTATGTCTGTCGGTTGGTTTATTCTTTCTTCTTCCTTATTTATAGTTTATTTTATTTCCTTTTCTTTATGCAAACGCATTTGCTTTCCATTTGTATAACAAAAAAGAAAAACCAACTAAAGAAGAAGCCTGACCGGATGCCATGTGGCAGGAGAAGAAACACTGGGCGTATTCCTATGGACTTGAAATGTTCGATGCTGTTGCTGCTGCTGTTGGACATAAAAATTCCTTTGGGCAATCTACTGGTCTTGTTAGGGGACATTCTAAGTTTTTGCATGGATTCGAACTATTACTTTCGTTGTTGTTGTTGTAGTTTCTACTTACATTTTCCGCTTCTAAACCACCGGGAATTTGTGTGCCATCCTTTGAACAGAAACAGTATGGCAGTTGACATTCGCTAGGATCACATTTTTTTGCTTTATCAGCAGGTGCTTCAGTAATGGTTGCTGGTGCTGTAAAAGAGAGAAAAATGGGAACAAATGAAAAAAAGTGGGAAAAAAGAAATGAAAATAAATGTATATAAATAACATTAACAAATATCTGCAGTTGTACTTTTGGTACTGTACTTTTAGCACTGCTGCCGACACTGCTGTGGTGGATAGGGAGACTATGTGGGTCCCCAACGCATTGAATTAAAACGGAACTATAAAATAGTTGCTTAACTCAAAATTTACATAAAATGACGGCATGGATTTCAAGCTGAAATGCGGAAATGGGGTTAAAATTTAATTTTAGGGAAATTTATGTCAGGCCGTTGAAAAAATATTTTTGAAAACAATCCTCATTAAAAAAAACCAGTAAGGAAAGTAGTAAAGTCGGACGTGGCCGACTATATGATACCCTTCACCACTTTGGGATATTCATCCTAACAGACGTCGAATTTTTGAAGGACCATAAACATGTCATTCTGCCACCTATACAAAATTTTTCAATTGATCAGATATGGGGTTGCTTCTTATGTCATAGTAACATCAGTACGTAGTGCAATATTCGAAATCGAAAAAAAAATTTCAATTGATCAGATATAGGGTTGCTTCTTATGTCATAGTAACATCAGTACGTAGTGCAATATTCGAAATCGAAAGATATATGGGTACTGTGGTACACCATTGACATTAAATCGGACGAAAATATATATGGGAGCTACATCTAAATCTGGACCGATTTTCAGGAAACTTAACACACATCATTCTAGACCTAATTCAGTACCATATGCCAAATTTCGTGTAAATCAAAAGATATATGGGACTTTGGTACACCATTTACATTAAATCGGACGAAAATATATATGGGAGCTACATCTAAATCTGGACCGATTTTCAGGAAACTTAACACACATCATTCTAGACCTAATTCAGTACGCTATGCCAAATTTCGTGCAAATCGAAAGATATATGGGGACTTTGGTACACCATTTACATAAAATCGGACGAAAATATATATGTGAGCAATATCTAAATTTGGACTGATTTTCAGGAAACTTAACACACATTATTCTGGACCTAATTCAGTACGCTGTTCCAAATTTCATGCAAATCGATAGATAGATATATAGGGACCGATTTCGTCCGATTTTATGTAACTGGTGTACCAAAATTTACATAAAATCGGACGAAAATATATATGGAAGCTATATCTAAATCTGAACCGATTTTTTCAAATTTCAATAGGGTTCGTCCTTGGGCCAAATAAGAGACCTATGCCAAATTTCATCCAATTCGGATCATAAATGCGACCTGTACTTTGTTCACAATTTAACATGGACAGACAGACGGACGGACGGACATGCATAAATCGACTTAAAAAGTGATTCTGTGCATATTCTCAAAAGGAACCATGTGTCTATTTCGTTCCCTTTTGCCTGTTACAGACATATGCACAAAGACATAATACCCTGTACCACAGTGTGGTGAAGGGAATAAAAAATTGAAAAAATCCACGCCTATGTTAGGTCATTGAAAAAATATTTAAAAAAAAATTCACGCCTTTGTTAGGTCATTGAAAAAATATTTGTTTAAAAAAATCCACGCTTTTTCAGGTCAAAAAATATTTGAAAAAATCCCCCATCTATTCAACGTGTTGGTCATTTAAAAATAAATCAATATTATCTTAAATTGAATTTATTTAAATATTTCCCTAAATAAACTTCTTCGATAAATCTTCGCACTTAATCAAAATCAATGCAATTTATTTATGGCAATTTTTATTACACGTACAATAAACTTGGTCTTATTGTTTTGCCATAAATTTTCCCTTTTTGAGTTTTGAAGAATAAATTTTATTTGTCGAAGTTGTACTTAAATCGGTCGTAAATTAGTGTCATTAGCATAATAAACATTTATTATCCATTGGTGGAGAATACCTTAAGGAAAGGTGGAAATTCCTCACCTAACTCCCTCCCACCACGATTATTCGGAAAAAAACTTCTTTCATCGAAAGATATCCTTAATGTCATCGGAAGACAATTGCAAATGTGGTAATTTCCATTAGATTTACATTAAAAAGAAACACTCACACACACCTACACAATTGAACTGAAGGATCTAAGAAAATTTGTTAATGTGATTGTGTTTGTATATATGTGTGTGTGAGCGTTTTTGTAACATTTACGCATCAAATCAAAACGAGCATTTGACTGTTCGCATTGCAATGAATGAAGTAAAAGAAAAAAACTCTCTCAGTGATGAGAAATTTATCTATCCTTTGCTAAAGTGATGTAACAGAAGGAGTGTGTGTGTTTGCGTGAGGATATTCACATGTGATTGAAATACAATCAGGACAATTTTACTAACATCATCAGGGTAGTAACCAACATCATCAGAGCAACAACCGCCTCGAACATGTCTTAACCAATGGTAATTCGGATGATGTAGAGGTGTCGTTAATGGAGGGAGAGCTTGGAAAAATATGTTTAAAAAAATCTACGCCTTAAAAAATATTCTTAAAAAAATCTACGCCTTGAAAAATATGTTTAAAAAAATCTACGCCTTGAAAAATATTCTTAAAAAAATCTACGCCTGGAAAAATATGTTTAAAAAAATCTACGCCTTGAAAAATATTCTTTAAAAAAAATCTACGCCACGAAAAATATTCTTTAAAAAATCCAAGCTTATTGGCCAGTGGATCCTTGAAAAATATTCTTTAAAAAATCCACGCTTATTGGCCAGTGGGTCCTTAAAAAATATTCTTTAAAAAATCCACGCTTATTGCTCTGATGGTCCTTGAAAAATATTCTTTAAAAAATTCACGCTTATTGCTCTGATGGTCCTTGAAAAATATTCTTTAAAAAATTCACGCTTTTGGAATCCACCCTTGTTGCTCTGATGGTCCTTGAAAAATATTCTTTAAAAATCCACGCTTATGGAATCCACCCTTGTTGCTCTGATGGTCCTTGAAAAATATTCTTTAACAAATCCACGCTTATTGCTCTGATGGTCCTTGAAAAATATTCTTTAAAAAATCCACGCTTATTGCTCTGATGGTCCTTGAAAAATATTCTTTAAAAAATCCACGCTCATTGCTCTGATGGTCCTTGAAAAATTTTTCTTTAAAAAATCCACGCTTATTGCTCTGATGGTCCTTGAAAAATATTCTGTAAAAAATCCACGCTTATTGCTCTGATGGTCCTTGAAAAATATTCTGTAAAAAATCCACGCTTATTGCTCTGATGGTCCTTGAAAAATATTATTTAAAAAGTCCACGCTTATTGCTCTGATGGTCCTTGAAAAATTTATCTTTAAAAAATCCACGCTTATTGCTCTGATGGTCCTTGAAAAATATTCTTTAAACAATCCACGCTTATTGGCCAGTGGGTCCTTGAAATATATTTTTAAAAAAAATCCACGCTTATTGGCCAGTGGGTCCTTGAAAAATATTCTTTAAAAAATCCAGGCTTATTGGCCAGTAGGCCCTTGAAAAACATTATTTAAAAAATCCACGCTTCTTGGTCTGTGGGTCCTTGAAAAATATTCTTTAAAAAATCCACGCTTATTGCTCTGATGGTCCTTGAAAAATATTCTTTAAAAAATCCACGCTTATTGGCCAGTGGGCCTTGAAAAATATTCTTTAAAAAATCCACTATTGCCAGGAGGGTTCTTGGACTATTTTTCTTAGAAGCCCGAACTAGTTACATATAGAAAATCCATTGAAAATTTCGAAATCCCTATGTATCTAGAGGCTGGCTTGTTTTATTAGGATGAACATGATTACTAACAAAAAACACACCCCCTTTCCTTCAGCCAGAAACATATACTGACATCTCTACCAGAGTAAGAAAGTGTTCATGCATTATTCAACAAAGTGTTTAGTTCACTTAAGCAAACATTGCCAGGGTAACGACTAACGAACGACTCTGACTATGGCTACGGCTATAACAGTCAAGGATTTGATACAATTGATTGAAATTGCTATCAAGTATCAAATGGATTTTGATTTCACTTAAAGTGTGAGGCATTACTTAAGCTTTAGCCTGCAAACAATAGGAAAATCTAGAAAAAATATCGGAGCCAGTAAGAAAATTATGTGTAAAAAATTAGCAACGCGGTGATGCTGCTTGAAAAAGGCTTGGGTCAGTTTTGTGGCCAATAATCGAAAAATATTTTTTCCTCCGAAAAATGTTAAGATACCCTTTATGATCCTTACATATATGTTGGATGAGACCTATACTAATTTCTTCCTTGGAAAATTCGCCCAATATTCCCCATTAAATTGTTAAATAACTAAAATTTTGGAAATTCCAAAATTTGAAAACTTATTTACGTCATATCATACCCCAAACTTCACTTCAACATCTTGTCGATTTTATAACGAATCTTTGGATTGAAAACTTTAAAACATTTTGTGAAGCCAGCCGCAGACGCGGCAGCAGTTGTGTGCGTGAGAGGCAGAGACTGAACTCTGCCACATAAAAATAACCACAAAACAACAAAGTTTTCATATAAAACTCAATATAATTTGTCAACTTTATTGCTTCTGCTGCCAACAACAAGAACTGCAAATTCTGGAAGGAAACTGCAACTGTCAAAACTACTGTAAATAATGATGAAGTGTGTAGAGAGTATATCTTTACAAAGGAAACCGATAAAGGAACAACATGTCAAGTGTTTGGTGGAATGGTGAGCGGTACGGGACGGGTGAAATTTTACTGATTGCTGCTGCATTAAACTGATGGTGATATATATTTTGGGTTGGGTTCTATTGGAAGTTGTAAATCAATTGTAGTACAAGTTTGGCCACACATAAAGAGATCTGGTCTGGACAGACAAAATCTTTTGAGAAATTCTTAAGATTTTCTTTATAAACTTTAATCAAATAGCTTAAATAAAACAAGTCAGTCGAACGAATGAATTACCTAAATATATTAAATACCATTTTACAATAAAATAATACTTTAGATTGTTGGATAATATGTGATTAGATATGTAGTTAATATAGAAGAAGAACATTTGAATGG